ATAGGATCTTGAGGAGCCACAAAAATCTTTGTGCATCTCGATCTTCCTCCATTGGCTGCAGAAGAAAACGATGCCTTTGAATCTTTATACAGCTTCTTAAAAAGAAGCCACTTACTTACGCGACCGTCGTATAAGAGAAACTTAATATCTAAAACTTTATTAAAAGACTCACCAACTTTTACTTCTGTGAGCTTGCCCAAGATCTGCGTGAGCGTTTGCTTTTAGTCTTGATCATATGTACACTGACTACTATCATAGACTTTATTTTGTGTACAATTTTGTTTATGTGTGCCTAAATTTTCTAGTGAAACATGTGTTTGTAGTGACGGCGGCGGCGGAAAAGCAGGATGTGCCCGCTGTCGCTGTGATTACTTCGAATTAACTGATGACTTAATTTACGAGCAACCAATAAGTTGTAGGATTGGGCAAAAACTATCGATATATCAAAATATCAATGTTTTTTCTTTAAAAAATCCATATAAATCATCGATATTTTTGCCCGTGATGTATTAGCTTTTGATATTTATTTTCAGATATCGTCAGTCTATACGAGATTAATATGGCTCTCAAACAGCTCAAGAACAACAAGGCGCCGGGGGATGACGGAGTCACAGCGGAGCTTCTGAAAGCGGGTAGACTACCAGTACGGAAAGCGCTTCAGAAGCTATTTAACTCCGTCATACTCGAGAGCAAAGGGCGTGGTGGTGCTTTTCATCAAAAAGGGCGACAGGGCCCTATTATTAGAACTACAGACCCATCACGCTTCTCAGTCATGTGTACAAGCTGTTTTCGAGAGTCATCACGAATCGCCTCGCATGTAGATTTGACGAGACCTGGGCCGTGCTTAGGTCACTCCAAAAAGGCTATCGCTACATCCAAGTATTGCAGTTACTGTTTGAAAACGCCACCATGTCAGTTCGGCTCCAGGACCAAAACTCGAAAGCAATACGACTTCAGCGTGGAGTGAGACAGGGCGATGTTATATCGTGGAAACTGTTCACTGTCGCACTGAAGGACGTGTTTAAGCTTTTGGACTCGAGAGGACTTGGCATCAATATAAACGGCGAGTACATGACGCACCTTCTTTTCGCTGATGATATCGTAGTCATGGCTGAGACCATGGAAGAACTAGGCATAATGCTCGAAGATCTATGTAATTGTACTGACAAATAGTCCGATTAGGTAAGCCCAACTTCCAGAGAGAGGTAAATCGACAGATCCAACTCGACTGAGCCGCATTCGGGAAGCTACGCAGAGTATTCTCGGAACATCTACCGCAGTGTCCCAAGACGAAAATGTAAAGTGCTATGCTCGGGGTTTCTCTTACAGATCGAATCCGAAATGATGAGATCCGCAGAAGAACGAAAGTCACCGACATAGCCCAAAGAATTGCGAACCTCAAGTGGCAGTGAGCAGGGCACATCGCTGGCAGGACTGACGGCCGTTGGGGTGGTGAGGTCTTGGAGTGGCGACTGCGTACCGGGAGACGCAGTGCTGGTAGGCCCCCACAAGGTGTACCGACGATCTGGTGACGGTCGCGGGAAGCCGCTGGATGCGGGAGGCGCAGGACCGATCACGTTGGAAATATTTGGGGGAGGCCAATGCCCAGCAGTGGGCGTGTCTCTGTTGATATGATGATGATGATTTCAGACATCAAATTCGTATCAAAATCGATATATTTTTAAATTCTGCGGTCTGCTCATGCGTCATATCATGTATTTCTTAAATTTAGATTTAGGTTTTAATTTAGGCTGTATGAGTTTAGACAATGACCTGCTTGTCTTTTTTGTTTGTCTATGACAATGACACTGCTTGTTGGTATCACTGAGTGTGCTCCTGATGTCAATTTCAGAGAAAAACTCGTTTGTTTGAATTATGTAATTTTAGTTGTGTTGATGATGTTGTTTTCTTAGCTTTATCTATCTATTTAAAATAATATTACTGATGTCAAAACAGCCAGGTAAGTATTTGCTTTAAAATTTCGAATATTTTGAAAATTTTCATTGATAACCGCTTATTACGCAGAAAATATCGATACATCAATATATCGATATATTTTGAAATAAATCGATACTATATATATCGTTATTTTTTCCCATTTGCCCATCCCTAATAAGTTGGCTCGTCACTAGTGTTGACATATAAACCAAACATCGTTTCTTTACACGTAACATATAAATCACTTAAGCTTACGATTCAAATAAATTAAAATTAATAAGAAACACGAAGCAAAGTCATATTTTTTAATTTTCAAGGTACTCAATTTACTTTTATTATGTCAGAAACAAAATTTGAATGAATATCATAGACAAGATCCAAACAGCTAGTGACATCTTGTTTAATTGTATTTGTCGATTGTTCAGCTTAGTCGATAAAAGTCGTTTACTGTTGATGTTATTCGATTGTAGTTAACAACTAAACCTTGCGGCGGCAGTGGACGGCTACGACATGCTGCGGTTTCCGTAATTACTTATTCGAGTAATTTCTACGCAGTGCCATGTTACTATACCCGTGCGTACTACTTATGGTGCGGTGCAATGCGGCGTGCGTTGTGCGGGGTCGACTGCGGTTATTATGTGATTGGCGTATTAGCGCAATGTATTAACGTTATTTTAGTAGTCAACCCACTGATTTGAGGGCACATCCATTCGATCGCGCAATGTAGTTGTTACCTATATACATTATTAAGCGACAAATAATGTTGAATTATCACACAAACAAACCTTGAAATGTACCATCGCTAACCTACTACATCTTTTTAGGGTTCCGTACTGAAAGGATAAAAACGGGACCCTATTACTGAGACTTCGCTGTCCGTCCGTCCATCCATCTGTCTGTCACCAGTCTGTGTTTCATGACGGTTCATGAGCCGTGATTACAAGACAGTTGAAATTTTCACAGATGGTGTATTACTGTTGCCGCTACAATATAAACATTTAATGGGGCTCCCATACAAAAAATGTGTTTTTTTTTACTTTTTTATTTTACTCGTTTACAGAAACGAGATGTATGCTATATTATGTATGTTACTTCTCTTTCTTGTTATAAATAATAATATAAATACAAACTAATTATTAATAAAGTAAACAAACAATCAACGCAACACCATAATACTCCGCGTAGTTAACCGACAGCACAGGCATAGCACAGAATGATCACATAGTGTGCGTACAGTTAGTAGTTAAGACGATTGTTATTCGAATAATCATGTCAGGGAATTACTAAATCGACAATCGAATGCACAGTAGCACAATTTTCGATTCAGTCGATCGTTTTTTTTTTTATCAACAATCGCCCAACGTTAATTTGAAGTCTCTGTCTCGCTTCAAACAAAATACTAACTAGGTGACCAAATTTTTTTACATGTTACTAAGCACTGGCTTAGTAAAATGCCATATACGCCACGCACCAGTGTGCATGAAGCGTATAACAATAGAAAACCCGCCACACTCCACTCTGCCCCATATCACCCCACCTCATCTTGCAACGCCTATTATGCTCCACGACGCTCAACCAATTAAAAAAAAATTATCACCCATCCCATTACTGACCTTTGCGAATGTCATTTAATCTTCGTAATCGCAGATCAAATCCATTAAGCAATAGTACACATAGGATAAGAGAAGAGAGCAAACACCAGCCGAAATAAAAATAATCACCCATCCCATTCCTAGCCTTTGTGAACTTTGCAAATGCAGATCAAACATGCTTACTACTACTACTTATTAAATTTAGAAAAAAGTTGTTTTTAATCACAGATCTCCACTAAGTCAGTCGAATGAGGAAATAAAAAAAAACGTTTATACGTATTTAAAAAAAATCAAGTAAATTAGTTTTCAAAAATCAATAAACAACTCATATTCTATTTGTACTTTATCGTATTTGTATTAATATCTTTTGTTTTTCTAGTTTCTTTAATATGATACTTAAAAGGAACGGAAATGACTATCTTTGGTCCATTCGTTTCCTGCAAAAATCAACTTTTGCTACATCTAATGAAGTGCATTCTTGATGCTTTCTTTTTTTTCTAAAAAAACTTCTTCATTAGTATTATCTTTTTGTAATAATTTTATTGAAATGAATGTGATTATACATTAACTTCAATTTTGAATGGTAACTATTTAAAAACAAGTTTTTCCACTGAGGTTATTTTAATTTAAATGAGGAAGTACATATTTGAAAAAAGACATTAGTACATAAAATCAAACTAGATGTCGCTACGGTACGTTCTTGATTTCTCCATTATAACCATTCCGATTTTCTTTCATGTTTAAAAGTAAATTAGTTTTCAAAACTCTATAAACATCTGATATTCTATTTGTATTTATATCTAAGTTTCGAACTTTTCAAATTTCAGTTTTTTTAATATTATAGTTTAAAGGAACGGAAATGATCTTTAGTCCTTTCATTTCCTGCAAAAGTCAACTTTTGATAGAGAGTTTACTAGAGAAAACCAGAAGAGTTGTTATGAAGAAATCAAGAACGTACCGTAGCGACATCTAGTTTGATTTCGGGAATTAATGTTTATTTTCAATTTCAGTTAATGTTTATCATTCTGTATTTAAAAATATTAACTTACCTTATATATTAGCAGTACCTAACATATAATTATGTATAAATTGAATTTGGATTATGCAGGCATAAATTACATACAGATTAATAAAAATACGGTTTTAAAAAATGTATATTGAATAATCATTCTCTTAGAAAAGTATAAACGAACTAAGAAAAACCTGGTCGTGAAAAACCAAAAGGGCGATGCTAATAATAAAAAAGAAGAAGTTACTCTATGGTACCCGCCATTATTTGCGACGCAAACTTCATACAATATATTTTAATAGAAAATTTTACTTGCTGGGTTGAAATTTAATCAAAGTAAAAAATGCAATGAGTTTTAGTGTAAAGTTTTTTGGTTTATTTTGTTTAGTGTAGCTCACATATTTTTTTGTAATTCATAGTACCGGATAAGTATTTTCATAAACTTTAGTTAAACGAAAACAATGTCGTTTTCTTTTGGATCGCCATCAAGTGCTCCGGCTACTACTGGCATTGGTGGAGGTAGCTTCAACTTTGGCGCGACAAAGTAAGCATTGATTAAATTAAAACAACTGAGCATCATACTAACATGAACCTTTTTCGAAGGAAAGATTCGTCAAAAATATTTGACAACTGACATAACCTCACTTAAATTTTCATCGATTTTACACTCCGCCATAATAGTTTACGTGATATATACGCTTTACTACTTGATTTTATCATAGGCCAGCTACACCCGGTTTCGGCTTAAATGCTGGTGCACAACCAACAACTGCATTGTTCAATACGCCAGCGACGTCTGCTCCCGCGATTGGAAGCACCGCTCCCGCTTTTGGAACTGCGACTCCTGCATTCGGAGCTACATCAGCTGCTCCAACTTTTGGCGTGTCAACTACCCCTGCGTTTGGATCGCTGCCAAGTTTTGGATCAAGTGGAACACCGGCATTTGGGGCAAGTTCAACAGCACCAACATTTGGTACTACATCTACGGCACCTACCTTCGGTACTACTCCAGCTTTTGGTAAGTATGTACATTTAGTGATATATGTGAGGAAGTGTAATTATTTTTCCATTCTATGTAGGGTAAAATACCCAGTAGTCAGCCTTTTAATAAGAGTCTTAATTTGATTCAGCTATATTACAAAAATAAAATAAGGGCTTTTAATAAAAATGCCTATTTTTATCAGAAATTTGTTTATTATATTTAAAAAAAAAAATTATATGATAAGATTGAAGTTATAAAAATAATCAATATTTAACCACTTATCACCATTACTCGGCATCATATGCACTAATAGTTGACCATCTCTTATCCTGTAGTTAGCCTATAGGTGGGTAAGAGCTCTTGCATATTGGACATACAAATTATTTAATATGTAAGTTTTCATAGACATCAAATAAACCAGTAAATTTGATGAATTTCAAATAACTGCTACTAATATTATTTAGATTCTCTTATAACTATTTTTAGACATTGAAGTCTTTGTGCTAAGAAGCTTTTATTTTTTGTAATTCTGATTTCCTGTTTTGTTTTTCTGTTTCTTTACTTCTTTCTGCTTTTTCTGGACATGATGAGATTCTATAATTGAAGATATGTATGCTTAAAATAAACATACTAGATATATTCCTATCTAACGGTAATAAGATTTCATTTTATGCAGCAAAACTAATGGCAATCGCTGGAGTCAAAAGTCTATTAGTCGGCCATCAACATATAGTTACTTTATACATGGCTGGTAAAATTTTCTTTTTTTTATCTAAGAGTTATATTGTGTGAACATTGAACCAGTAAAAGGACTGTAATGCTAAATCAAACACAAAGAAACCGTTTAAAGGTTGTTTCATTTAGTTATATTCAATCTAAAGTAAAAAATATGAACTATTTACTGGATGAATTTCAACAAAATCAAAGAAAAGCCTAATAAAACCAGTAGTTGCCCTACTGAATTATCATGTTATAAAGAAAAAAAATGTCTATCTAATGCTTAATTAAATTACAACATAAGTATTTCATAATAATATTACATAAAAACTAAACCACAGCAAACTCATGAGAAAACTTACACTAATCATGAACATGTATTGTGAAAATAAGTGAATACAGCTCATCAACCAGTTATCCTTTTGAATAGAAGGTGTGCATATTAATAAATAATCATTTCTATAGTATAAATCTATTTATATGTCTTTAAAGCCTATCAAGGCTACTACTGGTGGTAAAGGCTACTACTACTACTACTGGTGTGGGGCTGACTTCTGGGTTATAAGGAAAAAAAAATATAGTAACTATAGAATCTATTTATTAAGAACATGGAATGACCAAATATAACAACAGTGTTCTTACATATGAGATCATAGTTACATAAAGCTAGGAATACATGTAAATTATTTTTAGCAATTTAACCTATGTAGAAGATTTTGGATATTTAAAAACTTTATTATTGCTTGATAGGTCTGTGTGATACCTGAATATGTATTTGGTTTGATCTTTCTAAGGGATGACAGGGAAGAATCTTCAAGTGAATAAAATCTAATGAATTCTAAATAATTAGTTCTAAATAATTAATGAATTCTAAATAAATAATTGGTGGTGCAATGATTAGTTTAAAAACTAATAACCACTTAAATGGACATTTCTGTAACTGTGTAAATAAATGCATCCTACATTTATATATATAATATTCTTATAATGTGATTATTGTTCTTAATATAATCTTAAGATCCTTAATATAGTATAAGGAACATGATATATAAATTAATAGTACTTTACATATGTGGTGCAATAATTAAGTCATTTCTAAAAGTTAAAAAGATTTATAAAACAACCAAAAATTTTGTATCTCAAGTTTCACAATCCGTGAAAAGTAAAATGTAGGAGCCATTTTACTGTTCCAAAATATAACACTGTAAACCCCACTTAAATGATGATTATATGTACATTACCACAGACATATACCTTTTTTAAAGTTGTGTGAATGGTTAAATTTTATTTTGAACTTTCTTATCTTTGCTATTTAAAGTAAGCATTTTTAGAAAAAGTTTATGGTTCAGGTAAAGGATAGTTTCTATTGTTCCAAAACCAATAGGAGCAACAACCACACCAGCATTTGGGAGCACAGCAACAACCACTCCAGCTTTCGGTGCAACTACTACTCCAGCATTTGGAACTACAGGTGGACTCACTTTTGGAGCAGCTAGTAGCACAGCTACACCTGGAACTGGTTAGTGAAATTATAATTGTACCTATAAGGGAGTAAAATCCCAACAGAATCCATCTTAAATAAGCATCAAAGTTAATAACAAAAACATTACAAAAGGCCGCTAAGAGAATACATACATACATACAGGAAAAAATAGTAATCAGTACCAAAAATTTACACTATACGCAGGTGATACCACAGAACACAGAAAGACGTTAGAAGGGTTTTGGGCGTGGCAGTGTAGCCAAGATCCTGGACAAATGTACAGGATCGTGACTTCACCACGCGATCGCGATGTTTAGTCATTATCGAACGCGCGCGCTGTAAGTACTGTGAAACACGCCACTAAAAGTGTGAAACACGCCACTAAAAGTGTTAAAAATGCCATCTTGCGCAGTTATTAATTGCAAAACAAGAAGCCCATCCTCAAGTAGGTCCAAAGGAAGGATTTATTTCCATTAGTAAGTAGAACACTTCTCAAATTTAGTATTTTTAGTCGAAATTCGTGAAATGTTATCAAAAGTGTGAATCACAAAAAATATTTCCAAGAAAATATACATTGCTGGAGAATTGCGCATATTTATTACATTGCGTCGTACTCAGCACGTAATGTAAAGAACATCGCGAAATCACCGTTTTAAATAGCAACATAATAGATTACGGTAGATGGGTAGTGAAGTGCCTGGAAACATTTAATCGATTCTTGGTGTGTTAGTTAGAAAAAACTAAATAAAAGTATGGACGATAAAAATAGTTGTAATAAAAAATAAATTTGATCAGAGATTAACCATATTGACTTTGTTTGGTATGCGTTTTGTATATTAATTTAATTGTATGTTGCGTTTTGTATGTTTTTATATTCTTAATATTGTAACAGAAAATTAGTTTTTTTTTTATTTATTTTGAACCATTAACAACAATACTTTTTAAATCATCGGAATCCGTCAGGATAAGTTCCAATAGCATTTATTGTACTGATAGTATATATTATATTGTATATATTTATTTACATTATATTGTTTGTCAATATTACTAGTTTCATTTAAGCGATGTTGCCGATCTTATCTGTTTACTTGATACGAAATCGAGTAACGTAACGTAAAAAAAAACCTACTATTATTACTAATAAATAAACATATTTATATGCAAATAAATATTTTAACTCGACTAGTACCGATTCAATGTTAGTTCATTAGTAATTAGTAATTTAAATATTTCTTATTGAATCAACCAACTAATTAAGAATTAATGTCTAAAGAAAAAAGATAATGTCACATTTAATCAATACAATGTATATCCAAAATAATATATATAAAGAAATCATTACTCTAGTATCCTTTCAATTAATCAACTTCTTGTTTTTCAATATCGGCAGTAAATAACTTTATGTCAATCACTAGTGTGATATGTCAAATTAAAATGTCTTTTACACGTTTATTGCGCACTATAGATGTCTGTTATGGTTGAGCTTGATTCTATTGGAGCGTTCTGATTGACATGTTTAAAATGCAAGTGTGTGCATATCTTTTGTATAATTGGTCTGATATTTCGTCTGATGAACGGCGGACTTAAAGTGGGGCAAGACTGGCGACATCGGTTTTCGTACAAAGGACGCATGATCACCTTTCTAACTTCTTTTCCGTGTCCTGTGGGTGATACTATGTCCAGTTGATTGCAGTTTCAATACAAACAATGAAATCTTTTCTCTTTACAGTGTTAGTGTGGATGAAAATAAAAATTAAAGAACTTGATACAATATCCTGAATACAATTACATTTATGTGCAAAGAAATGTATATCATAAAAAAGCTATTATTTTTTCCATTTTTTCTAAAGACAGAGTAACAATATGGCCAAGTTTTTCTAGTATTTTCATACCTCTACAAATTTATTTATTTTATTTTTATTATAATTCTCTTATGTGATTGAAAACTTTGTATAGCTTCTTAGTTCCAGGCTTAATAACTTAATTGATTCGACATATTATATTTTACACAGGACTTTCTTTTGGAGCACCAACAGCTACAACAGCTAGCACTGGTCTGGGAGGCTTAGGAGGCATTGGATTTGGAGCATCCACATCAACACAGAACTCTAGCTTACTGTTTGGTGGAACAGCAACAACCACCAATAGTCTTTTTGGTGAGAATGTTTCTATAAAGTCACATTGGTTGATTAATGTGATCAAATCTTTTAAGTATATCAGTTCTCTTCAAATTGTATAAGAACTTAAGACTGTAATGGATTATTATTAAAATCATTCAAAATGAAAGTTTCAATTTGTATTTTAAATACACGCATGCAATATGGAGGTAACAGAATAAGTTTAATAAAATACTTGCTCTCTTTCTTTACCATAGATTACAGGGAAACCTATTTTTAATTGGTGCGAGGACTCTACAAGTTATTCTTATTAAACATATGGACATGAAGTAGTTGTTAGCTCTATTTTAATGCTAAGTAAAATCTAGATAAGTGTTGTTACCTTGTTTCCAGCAAAATGTTTCCCCGCCAAAGCTCTCCTTACACAAGTCCATTTGTGCCAATAACGCAAACATTTCAAATGCTGCCACCCATCAGTGTCAGTACCAATGCCCATCCTAACTTTGAACTAAGCCCCATAGAACCTGATATGAGCCGTGGGTACTCTATTAAGAGCCCCACTAGGGACTGCTATAAAACTTTAAGAGCATGCGGTGAGAAGCAAATACATAGTTAGTTAAAATGTTATAGATCAATATGTTTCTTTTGTGTTAGTAAAGTAGAGGGGTCTTAGTTGCATTTTAGTAAATGTTTTTCATAATCAATCTTAGGAACTTGACTCCTTATTTTAACAATTATAACACAAGTTGTAAGCTGATATTGTAAAAAGGAATAATAAACAAATGCTAATGAGTAATAGATTGATGTATTGCTTCTGTAATTTTATTATTCCATTTGGTTTGTTATAGGGTAGTTCATATTAAGTTTACTATTTATTATATTTGGTCAATTTCGCATTTACAATGCTATACTGAAAAATATTCTTAATGAAAAATGCTTAAAATATTCACTTGGTCCATGGCACCCTGATATGGGATTCGAACCCAGGACCCAGGACCTAACTGGACTGACGAATCTTTCAAGCATATCTGTAAAAATATTTCTTTGGATCGCCTGATGTAACAAAAGTTACAAGTGCTTGAAAGGTTCATCAGTCCTGTTAGGTCCTGGGTAGCTCAGTGGTTAGAGCAGTTTCCTAGATTGGTTCCATGGACCAAGTGGTTTTTAACATTTTCATTAACTATTTATTTAAAAAACAAGGTTAAATATGCTTGAGAATACCAACATACTAGAACAATGTTCTCTTAAAATCGATGTTCTATATATTTTTTTAATGGTGTAGAATAGAAATAGAGCATATTTGTGGTTCTAAGAATACAGCCTCAGTCTAGTAACAGAGTATGTGTTAAATAGAATATGAAGTGATGCAACAAATAATACTTTGTTAAATATGATTAATTCAGTAAGGTAATAATTTTTTTTTTTCTTTTTTCTAAGTGATTCAATGAGTAAATTTTACTGCTGACTATATTTAAAAAATACCGTAATATTTGTAAGATTAATGTTAAATAAGACAACCATCTGTCAATTTGTCATTGTCATCCTTCATAGATAGAGTCATCCTTTCTGAACAACTTTTAGATAATAAAGTGCGTTCGCATATATATATGTATGTAAAAGGCCACTCTTGTAATCAACCCAGCCCAAGGGCATGAATAAGATCTATGGCGGGACGAGCTTGCACAGAACCTATTCCCTCTTGTCTTAAATAGGTTTTAGTTATAAACACTCGGGAATATAGACATCGGCAGGGAATTCCTTTCCTTGGGTGTGCGCAGTAATTATCAGGACGTATTATATTCGTATTTGTTGCATTGCTGGTTATATGCGCTTATGGCTCATTGCATTGGTCCATTACGTCAGAAGTTTACTATTTTCAGGTGCCAAGTTGGGAACAACAAGTGTTACAGGAACGCAGCCATCAATCTCTGGTAAGTTCATTTAATGTACTCCTAAAGATGCTGCTAGACTGAACATTCTCTTGTAATGAGCATTCTTGTAAATATTATATTACAAAGATAAGCTCACAAAATAAACGGCAACATTTTTGCAACCGTTTTGGCGACCATTCTATAGCGAATCGACCGCATTGTTAGAACGAGATTGTACCTCTTGTTGGAACGAGATAAACATACTTGCCTAGCTCTACGTGTCAACTGCTGCATTCTCATATAACACGATGTAGAAAAAAGTGGCCGCGCTCGATGACGTTTTATTATTTTTATTAAATTACAGTACTTACGCATGAAATAATATCCGTTTTGCTTTTCTGGTTGTATATGTGTAATTTGTGAATTGTTTAAACACGCAAGGAGGCATTCTTTTCTACAACTTTTCACAGAAAATAATGAGTGAAAATGACATTAGCCACAACTCTTGCTGAAACGCTTTGCTTGCTTTTTTGTATTCGACGTTGTGCGCAGATAACACATCTAAACTTTTTGATACATATTGGATAAATATCAAATATCGGGTATTTTGATATATATTACAAATATCGGATTTTTGCAAATACCGATTTCACGTCTGCACTGTAAAGAGCTTTCTATAAATATATTGATATTTATTCAAAAAAATATTAGGATTTATTTACCACCGTTTTGTAACTAAATACAAGTCTTTATTTCTTTTTTATAGCAACCCCCAGTTTTGGATTAGGTGGTGTGGCTCCCGTGGGTGGAGCGGGAGTGGGAAATGTCGCCGATGTTAAGAGTGAGTAAAATGATATTATACCATAATTCGCTTTGGTTATTACATTGTTTTTACGTTACATTTTATATTTTAAATAACTATTGTTAAAATAATTAGTAATAATATTCTATGAAAACAAAAAAACTTGAATGTTTTAGAAAGTTTTTTAATGTAAGGCAATTGAGAGAATCCAAAGGAAATTCACAAAACTATTAAGTATAAAGTTCGGTACCAGCCGTGGTTTGATGTCGTATGAGGACAGATTGAGTAAATTCAATATTACATCTCTTAACACACGTCGTTATCAACATGATTTAATAACACTTCATAAATTAGTTCATTCCGTAATTGACTCAGAATATCTTCTTTCATCTATTAACATTAATTTCAAATATAATCCAAGGCGCAGGCAACCAACTTTTGTCATACCGACATATAGAAATAACATATCTTATCATAATCCCATCGCTCGTATGTGCAGAAATTATAATGAGATCCTCCCAGTTAATCAGGCATTAGACATATTTAATGCCAATCTCTTTAAATTCAAAAAATGTATTGGGAAAGTTGTGGTAGACCTAAATGTCGAATCTTTTTAACCATCCGGATTGATTTATACTCATTCTTTCTGTTTTCTTTCATATTAGTAAAAATAATAATAATAGTTTGTTTTTTTTTCTTTATCATATCTCATTGTGTAAACACCTTTAGGATATTAATTTAGTACTACACAGTTTTTACTTATTACTTCATTTATATTTTGATTAATGTCTGTTGTGTTACCTAATAAATAAATAAATAAATAAATAAATGTAATAAATTAATATATTTGAACCTTACTCCTATATAAACTTGTAAACTTAAGACTGAGAATCTAAAGGGAAAAATCTATATTTTAACGTAAGCTGTCTATGTGCTGTCGATTACAATTTATTTTATGGGATTTTATAAATTATTTTACAGCTGAACCACCCAAACAGCAAAAATTGCCAAATGAAATCTCAACTACGTTGGATTCATTCAAAGAGTTTGTTAAGAAGCAGAAGGCAGTCAGCTCTGAAATGATGAGAGTTTCAATAAAGCCTTTGCACAAGGTGAGTGAATTATTTTTTGCATATTTACTATAATACTTACGCAATTTAAAAAAAATATTTCATTTCAGTTTTATAATGATATGCAATCATTTATACTGTGCAATGTATTATAGGTGAATATTATGCCCAAGGAAGTGTGCTAATAACAAAGTTTGTAGGGTGATTTAGTCCGAGCTAACTATTTAGCTGTCCTGGACAAAAATACTAGCTACTCTTTAAACCAGTGTTTTCCAAAAAAATACAAACCCAAGAGAAGAATTTCTCACTTAACTTGTTTTTCTCTGTAATGTACATAATAGTAATGTAAAAAACTATGTAGAAGCTTGTTTTTTTTTACCAGCGCCTCCCTGAGTAAGGCTCCGCGACCCAATAGGAATTGCGACCGACAAATTAAAAACACTGTACATATTAACACCAATTACTATTGTACTATTGTAAAGAACAAGGGATCTGTTTGTTGACTTGCATATTAAGTGAAAAATTAACAGACTCCTTTTCTGCGCATGCTGAACGTTTATGGATTCTCCTCTAGAAGATGTCGAGAAGATCCGCTCACGTTCCTTTGGCGATCGAGTTGAAAGCAACTCCTTTCTCTATGTTAATGTTGTCTACTTATAAAGTTTTTTATTTAATATGTAAAGTTTTATCTTAACCTTTTGAGCGTTACACCTATTACCAAATATTTTCTCTTTCTTTTTTTTAAAGCTGCCTTTTGTGTACCGTGTTCATTCGTTTTATTTTCCTATCTGAATCTGTATGTATAAAGTTGAAGTACAGTAATCGATTACAGATTTTTACGTAAAATTTATTAGTCATTGTTAAAAATTCATTCAATAGGGATGACGACTGGGTAAACTAAAAGAAACTCTATTTAGTCCGTCAGATAAAAGAAAAACATTAGATGCACAAGTGGAGTGGGAGCTCACTACGTCACAGTTTTGTAGAAAATATACAAAAGCGTGACGTCATGCGACACTTCCAACTAAATGTATCGCCATAATTAATTGATTAGATACGTGTTTAATATTCTTCGATAGTCTACCTGACGACTAACAAAACAAAAAATAGTCATCGTCCCTATTTTTTATATATAAATTTTAATATCCATTCTGTATAGTTCGGTATCAGCATCGTGTATAATAGTAGTATAATAATACCTAAGTTATAGGTAGTTTCATACACTACTTTATCTTCAGTCATAGGAAAATTGAAATTACACCAAGTAGGTAGGTTACAAGGAAGTAATTTTTTGGTATCCCGAATACAAAAACACGATCGGCAAAAAAATGTATTGGAAGCGCGGGAAATTAAGTTCAAACTGCGCATGCGTACTCCATTTTTTCATATTCAGCCTAAAACCATAGACTAGTTTAATAATAAAAAAAGGATATCAGTACTATAATAAGTTTTAATTTTATGTATATGCGTTTATAAAGGGTATGTTCCGATATACACTGCGACCACTGAACAGTATGACGTCAATTTAGTATACTAGAAGCCCTTTCCTTTATAGCTAGTTATACTGGTGACTTTTTAAAACGGAACGCAGTCCAGTATACTGTTAATCCTTTATTTTGGCGCCACTTTCAAATTTTTTAATGCAAGGTGAATATAAATATAAAGATTCCCTCTTTTCAAAAGAAAATATTATAAAATTGGAAAATTGTATAAAAAATTATTTATCCATCTTATAATAAACGTAAGTATTTTTTTTGTTTATTTAGAAACTTATCATTTTCTGATTCTGTTTCGACTGATCACGTGATCAAAAGCACTGCGAGCACCTTACCTCGAAATCTCCAGTGCTCACAGAACAAATATGGCGGCAATTTATGACGTCATAAATTTCCCTAGGGTACTGTAGCAGTGTACTGGCAGTCCATAACGGAACGGATTTTTCAGCAGTAAGACCACTGCGCAGTGCTCGCAGTGTATATTGGAACATACCCAAAGTGCGTACGTATAGACTCGTCTTTGAATTCGAATTTTTCTATTTGAGTGCAGATAAAGATAATAATTTTACATGTTACACTAAGGATGGGTTGGATGGTGTTGTCACGTGTGCAGGTTGCGCGCGAGGCGGAGAGCACGTTGCGCGCGACGTTGACCCTGAGCGGGGAGGTGTCACGCGCGCGCGCACACTCGCGACGTCTGCGTGCCGCCGCCGCCGCCGCGCTCGCCGCCGCCGACAACGCCGCCAGGGACAACGCCGCACAAGGTTCCCCTGTATACAGGAACAATATGTTATATAGCACGCTCGCCGAACAGAGGGAATTAGGATGGCGACGAATTTTTGTTTGTTTATCCGTCAGGTAGATTAATGAAGAATATTAAACATGTATTATTATATATATATTTTTGCTTAATCGATAAATTAAAACGATACATTGAGTTGATATGTCGCTTTACGTCACGCTTTTGTGCATTCTCTACAAAATTGAAGCAACAAAAAATACGTATCTAATATTTTTCTATTATCTGACTGAAAGACGAAATTAAATTTCTTTTTTTTATTTCAGTCATCATCCCTATTGGCATGATGCGTGGCCAAACATAAATATTTACTCAATCAGTCGGATAATAGAAAAATGACAGATATATACGTTTTTTAATTATTATTTTTTTTCAAGTTGAGGTAGGACTGCTCTCTGCTTATCAAATATGTAAAAAATGTGACGTCATGCGACATTTCAACTTCATTAATTACACAAGAAACTAAATAATCGTGTATAATATTCTTCAATAATTTACTTGACGTACAGATAAAAAAATGTCATCATCCCTCGTACAATGACCCGACACTACATAACTCTTTCACTTGTGCGCACACATATTGCTGTTGCGCTCGCACAGATGCATCTAGCCAATTTTGTAATAGTAAAGTGAACCTTAAATGTTTATGATATTTTTCAATAGGCACGGTTCTTTCTGTTTGGAGACCATGCTAGAATACTCGTATGAGTTAACATGACCCGTGAAGGCCTATTCTAGTTCTCCGAAAATGAAAGTTCGTCTATTTACGAAATGTCAATTCAAGGATAATTTTTCTATAAATTTATAATGCAATGGAGGAGGAATATGTATCATTATAAAGCAAATATAAAATAACTATTTATTATGTTTGTGCTCTCTAATATATTTGAACACTCACTAATATAAACAAATTTAAATTGTCACTAAACGGATTTCAGAAAATAAATCTACAGTTTTAGCAATACACAAATATGTGCGAGAAACACTTAATATAATAAACAATAAAAAATATGCAGTCAGCATCTTACTGGATATGACAAAGGCCTATGACAAAATACAACATAATATCCTTCTCAAAAAACTAAATGATAGGTATCAGAAGTAATAGTTTCAATTGGTTTAAATTCTTATAGAATTGGGAGCAGTTCGTGAGTGTATAACATTTTGGCTATAATCCTAAAAAATATAGTACATATTATCAGATGGACAAACCACAAATGCTTCTATTCCTCAAGGCAGTGTAATTGGTTCTTTACCATTTCTAATTTATATAAACCAAAAACAAGAAAATCAAAACGGTTAACGAAGTTTCTTTACTAGGCGTAGACTTTTTATATTCACGTATAAACTGGAAAGCACTATCCAGAAGCTTAAATCTAAGCTTTCTAGCTTTGCATATGCGTTACGAAAAACTAAATGCCTGTGATTCACAGATAACTTTTACGGATGTGATTTTTTACTAAATCGTAAGAACTATTAAAAACTTGCAGAATTGTCGTTCGAGGACAAATAGAATAAATTCCTTGGGTGTCATATTAGTTCATACGAATTGTGCACAAATTTTGACTTTAGTAACGTCAATACAACATATTCACGTATTTTTTTTTTAATTTTTATATTAAGGTTTACAATGGACTCATAATGCTTAAATGATATTGAATAATCTGTAGATATACTGACAAAATATGGTCATTGACCTTCATTTAAAGTGGCTACGTGTTTATAGGCTTCTTTTTATGTTTTATCTCCAATGTTAACAAGTTAACAAAATAAAGATAAACGTGAATATGTTTCACCGTAACACACACGATATGAAATTTTGTGCACTGAATATAATTTTTTCCTGTATACAATACCAACATGACATACACTTCTATATATACCACTAGAAAAGCTGTGCGGTAATATATCTCGCTGAGCTCATTTTGCCGATTGCGAACGAGCTAACGAAGCAGTTGATGCGCCACGAAAGTTATAATCGACTGACTAACAAAAGATTTTATTCTTTTTGCAGGGATGGAACTTGAAAGTAGCGCTCCTCCTGGTTACGTGAAGGAGTTGATATCCGAGTTGGAACAACAGCTGATCACTTTCAGGCGTCAAATGGAAGTGGCCGACAAGCAAATGCAGTCCTCGCCTAAACTACTCACTGAACAAGGTGATCATATTATTATCTCAACTTATTAACTTTATTAGTAAACAATAAGCGATTTACGTTTAATAATAATAAATGTGATTTTTTATGTCAATACATACCATAGTCTATTAATTGTAAAAAAATATTATTATTATTTATTATTGCATTAGGGTGTGTTTCCACTGAAAATATTGTCATTTTTATCTTTACAAACATCCAATATTTTTGTTTTTAAATATATTGTTACTGTTTTGTCTACGTCAAATAAAAAATATCTAACAATTTGGAAAATGTTACAGGCGGCTACTAACTGTAGTTTTTTGTACTTAAATAATGAATTAAAGAAATGGAATTATACAGGGAAGCTTTTCGTATTGTTGTCGTTTATATGTATAAAATTCGGTCATCAATGTCCAGGTACATTAGCGAGGTAGGGAAGTCATAAATAACAACGTTTTGCAGACAACCGTTTTTTTTTCTTTATCATGATTTAGTGTTGATATTAGTGCACTAGTTACAATTTTTATCTGTTTATGCATTACTGGTTACTACTGGTTTATTTTACGATATAATTTTGAAGCATATGGCTGCAAAGGCGTAGCAATTGATTGGAACCACACAAAAAATTATTTGGGTCTTAACGTGATGGTGATGCATACTATAATTGTAATTACAGAGTTGACACTCGGCATTCGTCGTATGCACGAGTCGTTGGTCGCGTTGGCCGGTCGCCTGCAAGCCGTTCACGCACAAGTGGAAGCACAGAAGGACCAATATCTCAATCTAAGGAAATATGTACTTAAAGATCCGACCAACGTGTTCGATTCACCCGACTGTAAGTACAATCAATACTTATAAAACAACATGTACTAAATTATTAATCTTTGCTGTATGTAAACTATTGAAGTTGGACCTATGATCTATCATTATTAGAATTATCTGCATATATAACAATTAGTGAATCATTAATTACTAGTCATGTTATACATATAAACCTTCCTCTTGAATCACTATATATTGATGAGATGTTGTCCCTCGACTTCGTATGCGTTGATTATAGCCTATGTCAACCCCGTATCTTATAGCTACTCGTAAGTGAAAGAATTTTAAAATTGGTCTAGTGGTTTCGGAGCCTATTCGATGCAAACAATCAAGTATTTCATCTTTATAATGTTAGTATAGAAAACCGCGTTAAAATCCGTTGTGTAGTTTAAAAGATCTCTCAGTGTACAGACCGACAAAGGATAGTGACATTTCAAGTAAGAATAATCTCTAACAACATGCAGTTAGTCTGTTAACGTTGATTTACAAAAATCGCATATTATAAATCCATTATGTATAAACACAAATTAAGAGTAGACAGTATCACATACATTGCTCTAATCTCAAATTAGGTAGCTAAAGCACTTGGATTATGGAAATCTGAAACAAAAAATATACAACAACATCCAGACCCGAAACACTAGAAAAAAATAATTTTCTACATTACCCGACCGGTTTTTGAACCAGGGACCTCGGAGCTGTGACACCTATGATAGCCACTCGTCCACGGAGACCGTCGAGATGTATATAATGTGTGTGTGTTACTTTTGTTATGTTATGTAAATTCCATCCACAGCTGGGTCTAGTCTCGATCAGATCCTGAAGGACGCGGAGACGTCAAGAAAGAAAATCAAGAGTGGCAACGTCAGTGACGTCAGCTTCAACAGCGCCGTACTCTCTGATCCTAGGGCTGCATTAGGTATATACTCTTTCTGGCACACTAATATAATACTAGCTTTCCTGCAGCGGATTCACCCACGTGGTGTCTAGGGAACTGTTTATTTGGATATCCGTTCTTATCACGATACAGATATAATTACGATAAAGGTATAATGACAAATTGAATAGTAAACAATGGTTGCTATGGTAACATTTTAATTCCCTATACACACTTCTACACCCATTTTCATCTCTTTATTTGCTGTTTTTCGGGATGAAATATAGTCGTATGTTTACGTGTTTTAACAAACAAACATTCAAATATTTTCTTTATATAATATTATAGACTAACCAAACCAAAAAGTTATAATGCATAAGAACTCAAGTACATATAGACAAATTTGAAACGAACCCTCTTTCTCTAATTAATTTCTTAAAGAGTCATAGCTAATTGGCGGTGTTATTTTATTTTTTCATAGGAAACATTCATCAGTTGGCTGGACCAACGCCCTTCACATATTTGGGCAACACGTTGTCCCCTTTTCCCATTGCTGATGCGAGCGGTATGTAAATATTATATACACACGCGGAACATTATATAATAAGAGCTAACTTGATATTAGCGACCATAAAAATTGGTATTGACTCTAGAAATAATTAGATCATGACATAATACATCTAGTAGCGCAATATAGATAGTTAAATCGTTTATTGGACCATTACTATCACTACTTTGTTTGTTCATAAGTTTTGAGACAAAGTTTTTACTGCAAAAATGAAAATAAAATGTTACTGGCTGATATTTATGTAAATAACAGCTTATTACGAATTATTGTCAAATGCTGAATTGGTGTATAGGAAAATATCAATAGGTAAGCACATCAGATTAGAAGCTGTTCATTATTTCCCCGGAGCAACTGTCATTGAAACGCATCAAGTTTATAAATTAAAATCAGCTCCATATTTAATATGTTATTTTTATGGCTTACCTGGGTGTTTTTTTTATTCAATATAATTGATGTATAATACAGCCTACTGAATAATGCTTATTGATAGAGGAAGGAAAGTATTAAAGAAGTTCATTTAAAATTATGTGTAATCTTTATATTGTAACTAATTGTCATAATGAAGGGAAAAAGTATTATAGTTCTGAATAAACCAAGCTCATTTCTACTCGAAATAATACAGAACCGTTAATTTTCTCCCGCTAGCAAACGAATTTGAAGTCTCGAACATCAAGCGCCCCGACGATCTGTCTTTATGTGCGTCTTTGCGGTACTCCTAACTCTTTTCATAGACACCCAACTTTTTTAAATTATGTCATCACTTTTCTGTAACTTGTATTTAATTCAATGTGGAAAGCCCAGTCACGCTTTTACCTGACAGTTCTAGTGGTCCCTGATTTGAGGCATAAAATGCATTTCCGCTGCCTTAACAAAAAAGGTGACCTTTTTTGTTGACATTTACAAGTGTTAGTCGTAGAATGGATGACCGCGACATTTTTTTTTAACATTTTTGAACGAACGATATCGTTAAATTGACTAACGTAATTCTTTTTGGAATTGACTAAAGCAAGCGTTGTGATTGCATAATTCAATAAATCGCCACTACTTTAAAAGGGATTACAAAAGATTTTTAAATTAGACAATTAGGCCACCTTTCCCTCCATTGGGTTTCATTGATAGAGAAAGTCTGCCCCAGCAACGGGGAAATTAATAGGCCGAGGATGGTGTTGAGGAAACAAGTGTATGATATATTATGTTTGTGGTAGGTCCGGGCTGGCAGCCTACGCCTCAATCTCAACTGAACACGTCCATCAATGCCACACCATCCACTGAGCCCGCACTTCAGCTGCACAAGCCGCCGGGCAAGCGCGGCAAGCAGTCATACTGATGGTAACACTGACATGCCGCCAAAAAATGATGGTCTATCACCTTACGATTGACGTTCATTTGAACGTCGTGAAACAACAAGGCAATTAACATGCTGTTGTTGTTTATTATTACAGTGATTATTACTTCAAATCAATATAACTGATAATATGTTATAATTAAGCAACTGAAGTTGTAGAAATGTTTCCTTAAGGATATTTACACTTTTCGAAACTGGTAGATCAATTTCTTGGCCGATCTTACATACGTACACATAGTCATATATTTTATGTCGGGTCTCTTGTGAGGTAGACAAAGCAAATCTATGATATAAAAAAATAACCTTATTATTATCAGCAGAGCTGAAACGGGATATACATCATTTACTGGCTCAATCACCTTTGTTTTTATGTTATGGTTACTCACTATATAATAAAAATAATTGACTTTAAATAGACTTATTGTTTTCAAGAAATGGTAGATGCAAATACCTAATTCGTTTACTCGAATGAATCACTTTTTTCAGTGCAGCCCACAGAAATATATCTAGTTAGAAGGAAAAAGTGTTTGCTTCACTTCGCGTGCCGAAACGTCTAGACAGCTCCATTGCTCGCCGCGAGGCTCAGTCCACTTTCGATCGCAATCGGTGTTGGACGAAATTTAAAATGATGCGTTGTTCGATAATTACCTGCTCAAACACCACCAATATGGTTGGATCTTATAGTCGAGGTATTTCCTTCCATCGGTAAGTAACTATTTGCCTTGATATATCTATTTTGAATTAAAAATCATTAGTTTTGTTGCTCCGTATTATTTTTATCAAAACGGTCATGTGTCCAGTAATAGCTTTCCATTGCGGCTTTAATTTGACAGTCCAAATTTGCTGTGCTTGTAAAACCATCGATGTATAATTCAAGGTCAATTTGTTGGAGGACAAATTATCATTTTTTTCTGTCAAAAATGGAGAATAGTGCTGTACAATGCGATTTTTTTACCCGATTAAAAATATATCGTTTTTGAAAGCAGAAGAAAGGATAATTAATTTTATATTGAATTATACTGTAATTTTTGTTTTAGTTTTCCGTATGATCCTAATATTAAAAATAAATGGATTGAAGCAACAGGACTCTAAGGCAAATAGTAGGTATACTTACTGGACATGGAAACTTTAACAAACACCTATATAACATGGGTTATTCTGACAGTCCTCTGAGCAGGGCGTGCATGGAGACTGAGGAGATTGTCTCCTCAGTCTCCATTCCAGTATCACATAAGCGCTTGTGCACTCATGTGATACTGGAATGCAGGAGCCTATTAAGACAAAAGGACTACATATCTATGAAGCCCAAGGATACTAGTGGAAGCATGCGGCAGAGTTCGAGATCTTACGGGCTTCCTGGAGGAGCTGGGGTGGCAGGACTAAAGCAACCCCGTGTCATGCAAAATAGGCACTGAGTATCGAGTTGCAGAAAAGCCCGCCGTGAAACATAACATAACAACACAGGACGTAAAAATGTGTAGCGTGTCGGGAGGGGGTAGCGGCTACTACAAAGTGTTTGCCCACAGAAAAATGCCGATTTCTATTCTATCGCATAAAATCTTTTTTGCGCCGATTCACTAAATTACATTCGTGAGTTCGTGACATATACATAATATTTAAGCAAAATGGTAGTCTGTCTATAAAGTCATGAAAAAAATTGAGGGCGCTGCGATCGTGCACGTAGCAACCCTGTGTAGTGAGACAAATGATTTTGATAGTAGGATTTTTTTTTTACTTTTATTACCCCAGAAAAGGTAAAGAAAGGCGTATAATTCGTAGACAATGAGTTTATTCTACATTGAAGATTACAATATAGTAATCGTAATTTTTGATAAATCTTTTTTTTTTATAATTGCCAAGTTGTTTTCTCGTTTTACTGCAATGTGTGCTTGTGTTCGATTAAAGCCTGTTACTTTGACACTCCTTGTAAGAAAACCCAATATATTTCAGAATTTAACGCAGAACTTCTAGGCTACAATTAAAATCCAGATCGGTTTTGGCAATCCACTGATGTTTTCTTCATGTAGGTACCTCTTTTTTTCACAGAGTAAAAGAACTGAATCTTTTGTCGAAGTGCACAAATGTTGCAGTTAACCATTTATTTCTTAGGACGACTATCTATGTTTCCCAGGGGTTTCAAATATGCCACCATTTTTATAACCTTCATCTACAATACGTATCACTATATTCTCTGATTTTCCTGAAAGTAAGTTTTAAAAATGTAATACCTATAGTATTTGGCAAAAAGAATGGAATCGCCACAATGATCAAATTAATGCTATAATTTTAGTAATATAAAGCACAAACTTTTTATTGGCGTACGTAGGTAAAAATCGTACATTCCTAACAGGTATATTTTTTATTCAGATTAAAATCAATGATAAATTTGATTATCCAAAAGTATTGAAAGTTCGGGCCGCACTACAATATAGCCTTCTAACATTTTCAATCTAACCTATAAATGCATAATGTAATCAATACTTCTTTTAGACTTAAATTCATATATTTAGTAAATTTGAAACTTCTGGTAACCAAAACTCAATCAGTAACACGATTACATACCAGCCATAACTGCCGTTCGAGCTTTAACATCCTACAAATATGATAAAATGTGTCCAGCTTCTTGTTCCAATAAACATCACTGAAAAACTTTATAAATAATATCCTGAGCTTCACTCTGATTAATTCTCTTCATTTTTAACACTTTTCGACGGAGTTTAGAAGAAGTAGCTTCAGTTTAATCAAAACAAATCAAAAATGCAGAAAATCGAGCTAAAAAATCAAGTTGTTGACAGTCGATGTACTTTGATTCAGTGTTGTCATACTTGTGTCTAATGTTAGTTCCTCAAACATTCTTTTCATGACTTTATAGACAGACTGTACACGTTGGTCTCCGTCGATCGATATCGTTTTTTCAATCGATAAGAATCGGTATGCCGTTTCAAATACAACATGTATTCGATGCAAGTGAAATTATGTCTTCCATCACTAAATTAAGATCGTGACGTCATGATACCTACACAAAATGTGGCACGCTCGGTCTCCATATAAATCGACGAACATTTTCCTTCTAACTAGATTTATTTCTGTGGTACAGCCTGTACCTAAACTAATTTATTCAATGCGTTTTCATCGTAATCGAAAATTGGCAATAATTTAGATCATATGATTTCTTTCGCCTGTTTAGGTAATCATTGATGGAAATACGCTCGCTAGCATCGCAAGCTTTTAAGGAAATGCATACAGTACGTAAGTAAGGGTTAGAATAATTTAGTAATGTCAATTCCACCATATTGTGTCCAAAATAACGATCCGAATAACACTCATCTGAATTAATAACTGACATCAATAAGACATTCATTGAATAAATATGGATCAAATAACAATAAAAACCCGTATCCCCCCCCACCGCCCTCTCCGCTTCTTTTGACATCGGGAAACATTTTCTTAATAGCTTTCAGAGATATTTCCGTCTAATACTGCGCTCAGATTAACGAAAGCTTTCATTCAATATCTTTCAAAAAACATCGCAATCGCAAATAGAGTATTAGGCCCGGCTTGTGAGTATTCCGTGTATGTACATACATACGTATGAACAACACGTTATACGACGGAATACAATCGTGTAGTTGGTTAAACCGTACACTGTTCAAATATCATTCTGCTGTCAGTGTAATATTTTTACCTACTCAACCCCGGCCTGCTAGTAGAGTTCGTCGTACGAAAGAAAACCTTCGGATCACGTTTTCGCTTTTATTACAAAGTAATAAGTTATGCTGCAGGACTTCTTTTGTAAGACAGACTTTACTTGCTTGTGCGTGTAGTTGGTAGGGTGTACAATGTTCGAGCCGTAGTCCAGCTTGTCTTCATACCGTCATCGTCGTCGGAAAAAAGCTTTGGTTGACTGTTCGGGATAAATTATATATATAATTATATTTTTCGTATAATTAAAGCAAAACTCCTCCTCATACAATTTTTTCAATGTTGATATTAAAAAATAATTATAAATTGTAAGAGATAAGATGAAACAGCGGTATATCGATTTTACATATCTCCTACCCTTTTGGATTATCTGTTTCTTAATTAATGTAAAGGTTTGTAAATGTAAAATTTATATAATGATGCCGAAAGACATATTTCTTCATTGGAAAACACTGTATATTAAGTAGCTGTGCCATGCAGTTTTTTCATTGGAGAAGCTTGTGCAGGTAAGACTGGAGTTTTGCTCATGGTAGAACCTATAAGGCGCGTCGAGTGGAGATGTAACGAGTTACCGCAGAGACTCGCCTAACGATTAAAAACCTCTGCTCTAATCAGCGCGTTTCAACGAAGATGTTATAGTATTCTTAATGAAAAATGCTTAAAAAATCAATTAGATTGATTCTGTCAAATTAACGTATACTCGGTGGAACAACGACCGAGTGAGATCGGAAGTGCCCGAGGTTCCTGGAAAGTACTATTTGTCTTTAATATGATGTAAAAAAAATTATAAGTCTAGGTAAAATAGTTTCGGAGATATTAAATTACAAAGTTTTTGAAAAAAAATGTGTGTTTTCAACCCCGAGTCAGCTGTTTTTGGAACGTACTAAGGAAAAGTTTATAATCGGTCATTGACTTCTTCATTTCTAAAAACGAAATAAACTGTGATTTATAAGACTGCTTTCATGCAAATTCTACCAGACAATCAATTAACAAGGCAGTCAAAATGCTTAAATCGTTTTACAGACTAACAGCCGGTTTCTGATTTGAAAAAAGTTGAAAATTTCTACTGCTTATTCTCAATAACCTAAGTTTTTTTAATTTCACAAGTCAAATAGTCCTAGTTTAACAAACTGCTATCAACTGATCATCAAAAAACTAAAATCGGAAACGAAAACTAAGTGATGTTAGTTTGAGACGTTAAACGTTATTTTAAAAGAGCAGTTCTCCAAAAAAATTGCTTGAATGGGGTAATACTCCATTAACAACGGGATCGTTAATTA